AGGTCACCCAGCAAGCTTCCATGGCGTTAGTGGGGATTTGAATCTGGGCCTCACTTTGGTTTGCCTGTGGTGGAGCTGTGTTAAAAAAGGAGGTCAGAGGAGAGAGACCGTCTGGGCCAGAGTTTCCGTTGCTGTTCAGGGTGGGAAAGAAGACATTAACGAACTCCCCCTTTCTGCCTCACCTGCTTCACTCAAAACATGGTGTCCGGCAGTGTTCCCTCTTAGCTGAGTTAGTGTGAGCTGGCTCACAGTTTTTAGCCTCTGGCTCATGCATTTTTGTCTTAGCTCAGGAAGGATGGCTCCAGAGCAAACTGGCTTGTGCAGCAGCCAAATTGCTCACTCACAACTTCAATGCCAGTAGCTCACAAAGTAGAATCTTTACTTGCAAGACTCCACAGCTTAGAGGGAAGATTGGTGTCCCCCGGGACCTTGGGTGGCACCAGGCTTACAGATGCTTCTCCCACAAACCGAAGCCCTGTCCAATTAATAAGATATCTCTACTCCTTTTCTCTCGTGCCCTATTAAAAACCCTCTCCCAATGATACCCCACCAATACTGCTGTATCTAGACTTTTTTGGGGAAAGCTCACAGAACATCTTAACTTTAGGAAATGTGTACTGAAATGGTGATGGAAATGCTGTCAAATCAGAGCTGATTTACGGCAACGCCAGAGGGGTTTCAGTGTTCAGAGGTGGTTCACCATTGTTTGCCTCTGTGTAACGACCCTGGGCTTCTTGATGGTCTCTCATCCATGTACTAACTAGGGCCAACCCTGCTTAGCTTCTGAGATCTGCTGAGAGCAGGTTAGACCAGGACATCAAGGGCAGGTTTCACTGGAATAGCTGCTATTAGTTTGTTAAAGAGTTTAGCAACTTGGTGCTAATTAATAGTGGGTTTTTTAAAAAAATAAATAAATAAGGAGCTTTACCAGACTCTGATATCGCTCCCAACCCCCTAAGGGATGTTTGGCTGTCTGCTTCCTTTAGTCTGATTGGACACTGTAAACTCTCCCCTCCCTTCCCACACAACACCTAGAAATCGCTTGCTCACCGAAGGAGGTGTCCTCCCCAGTGAGGAACTGATCCACAGAGGGCCAGATGCAGGCAGCTTAACCTTGGTCCCTTTGCCATCTGTTCAGCCTGTGTCGCCGGAAACTTCTTGGCGTGCTTGTGATGTCTACCATGCAGCTGGCTTGAAAATGCCCAGAAGGATGATGGAGGGAAGGAGGCACACTAGTCTTAAAGAGGATCTCTTATCTGCCCTACGCTCAGCTAGTGTGTGTGTGTGTACTGTTAATGTTGGCAAGTGCAGTAAGCGTCCTAAGGGTGTTGCCAGTATAGACTTTGACAGGGCTTTTTTGGTAGAAAAAGCCCAGCAGGACCTCATTAGCATAATAGGCCACACCTAACAGCAGAAACTAATTAGCATACTAGGCCCCACCCTGACAGCACAGCTCATTAGCATATTAGGCCGCAACCCCGTGTTACCAGAAGTGTGGTCATCCAGCCACACCCACCTTTTGCTTCTTATTCTGTTTACCTTGTTTGTTGTCAAGACCCAGGGCTTTTTTTGTAGCAGGAGCTCCTTTGCATGTTAGGCCACACACCCCTAAGGTAGCCAGTTCTAAGGAGCTTCTGCTGTTGGGTGTGGTCTATTATGCTAATGAGTTCCTGCTGGGCGTGGTCACCTCGGGAGCCAGCCGAAACTCCGTTCCTGTGCGTTCCTGCCCAAAAATAGCCCTTGAGAATTCCACTGGAGCAGCTGAGTGGATTATACTTAATGTCACAAATCCCTGGTGAAATTGGCTAGGTTGGTAGCCCTCGGCCAAGAAGTGTCTGTGTGTTTTCAGGTAAGGCAAAGGGTGAGTGAGTAGTAATAATGTTATAGCTTTCCTAAAGCCCCATCAGTATGATTATCTTATTGCCCCTGTTACTGTTTGGGGGTATGGGATAAAACTCACTAAGGACTAGAAGCATGCCGAGGCATTTCCTTTTCCGCAAGGGTCTAGTCTGGTGATCTGGCACTTTAAACCCTCATTGCTCAAACATGTTTCTCCTGTCACCTGTTTATGCCACTGCCTTTCCAGCCAAGCCTCCTGCACTTTGGGAATTCCCAAATGCTTAGCATTCTATTTTTTGTTCTTCAGTGTCAGTATTCCGACACTGGTTATCCTGTTTCTGGATTTAATTGCTGTTCAGGGTACCTTCCGTTTGTCAGTTCCTCCTTCAGAGCAACTATTCTATGTAATCCAACATCTTTTATTTTCGTATCCCTTCTGGATAAGTCAAATTGTGTCCCATTCACTTCTCCTTTTTCACATGCAAGCAAAAACTTACTATATTCGCTTTTTAGATTAATCTGACTGTCGCTTGTAGTATTTCATTTGTTTTTTTTTTTAATGTACAATTTACCTTCCCGGTGGGGACTCAAAGCAGCTTATGTCTGTTTCCTCCTCCATTTTATCCTCACAACAACAATCCTGTGAAGCAGGTTAGGGTGAATGACTGGCCCAATATCACCCAGAAAGGTTCACGGCAGACTGGGAATTCCATCCTGGCGTCTTTTGGATTCTAGTCTGGCCCTCTAACTTGTGTTGTGCCTTACCAATACCAACACACATTCAAGTTCCTGAGGGGAAATGCTCCGTAATGGCAGGCAGGTTTCCATTAAAACAGTAGTTATTTATTTTACTTATTTATTTATTAGATTTTTATCCCGCCCTCCCGCAAAAGCGGCTCAGGGCGGCTTACAACATTAAAACCAATAAAATGATACAATACATCTAAAACAGTCAATAACAATCCAATAAAATCACGAATTTACACAACAGTACAGTTTACAGTTTACACATGGCGGCGAGCCATAAAGTGCTATGATAGTTGGTCTGGGCTATTAAACGCTTGGCGAAATAGCTCCGTCTTTACCACTCTGCGAAATTGGTGGAGGTCCCGGAGAGCGCGAATTTCCTGTGGGAGCTGGTTCCACCATGTTGGTGCAGCCAAGGAGAACGCCCTAGTTCTTGTAGTTGTTAGCCTGGCGTCCCTAGGGCCAGGATTTAATTGTTGATTTCAACAATAGGAAACTGGTATTTTAGGAGAAAGGAAGATTTTCTTACAGTGTGGGTGGAGAGGAGGTTGTTCTGGAACGTAGTTTTGATGCTCTTGGCTGGCATAATGCTGAGGCCTGAGGGAATGCTGGTTTCAGATCTGTTCACCCCGTGACCTCAGTCTTTTGCCACATGCCAGTGCTCTGTTGGTGGACACGTCTGCATGCAAAGGGATCCGTGAAAGGGGAGAGAGTTTCTTTTTTAAAAAATCACTCTTTTAACGGATTCCAGGAGGCGAGGCTGTGTGGCACTTTGGAAAGAAACAGGAACCCTTTTCCTTGTAACTTAGACGGAAGGCTGCCGGGCCATGTTGTGGGGGTTTCTACAGAGAATTATGGGCGACTGTAAGCCAGGATGTTCCCTTGATGCAGCTCCTACCCTAGCCAAGTTGAAAGGGGGATACTGAAAACCCATTACGCCTTCATCCCACAGAAGGAGAAGTGCCTTCTGGTGGGCCACAAAGCGATCTGCTGGAGGTGGGGGGAGTTGGTAGTCTGTGACATTCCTGAGAAGAGTGTAATGTCTGTGTGGTGCTTAGCACAGGGGAAAGCCAGCGGGCACTCTTAAGCCGTGGCTGGCCTTCAGGGGGGAACAAGGCTTATTTGTGTTAGCCGCCACAGCTGCTGAGTCAGCCCATCTGCCTTTTTAGAGGGAAACAGTGACTGTCTCTTATGGGAACAGGTCCATGACTACACTAGCTGGGGAATGTAGAGAGATCAGTGTTCCCTCTAAGCTGAGTTAGTGTGAGCTAGCTCACAGTTTTTTGCCTCCAGCTCACAGATTCTTGCCTTAGCTCAGGAAGGAGGGCTCCAGAGCAAACTAATTCATGCAGTAGCCAAATCGCTCACTCACAACTTTAATGCCAGTAGCTCACAGAGTAGAACTTTTGCTCACAAGATTCCACAGCTTAGAGGGAGCATTGGTAGAGATAACCCTTTCCAAACTGGCAGACCTGTTTGGCTTTAGACTGTCCCACTTGTATACATTTCTCAGCTTAATCCTGAGAGATGTCCATTTGGTGTCCATCCTGAGAGGTGTCCATTTGTACCCCCACCTCCAAGCAGTTACGGGTGGTTCTCCTTCTCCATTTTATCCTTTCAACAGGCCTGCCAGGTAAATTGGGCTGGCCCAGGGTTACCCAGAAGACATCCTAGCTGAATAGAAATATCGCCAGGGCTTTATCTGAGCAAGATTTGTGCCTTGGAAACCCATTTGCAGTATTCAGGCTTGGCCTTGGATTGCCTGTGATAGTAATGAGTCTGGACATGTTTTAAGTACTCTTCACTCATCACTGCACAGTTCTGAGAAGATATTGGGGTGTGTGTGTAAGAGTGTGGCATTCATGCTAATTCCTGTAACTTCTCCAGAAATTGAGTTATGATTCATTTTAAAAAATAGGAGACAGCGATCTGCAGTTGGATGGCTGCTGCCGCCGCAGCACCCCATACCCTTCCTCAGGAAGGTATGGGAACTGTTTTAAAGCTGTTCCCACAAAGCATTCTTGAAAGCCTGCCTCAGGGGCTTGTTCCTTTCAGTGTGACGACAGCTGCAAGGAAACTGCTTGCCTGTCAGTGGAGATGACTAAAAACAGTGGTGGGATTGGCAGTGCCCTTTCCAGTTGGATGTTCGTTCCGTGGTTGCAGTTGGGCCATTTAAATTGCCCGCAGGTCATAGAAGTGACCCCCCATCAAGAGCAGGAGAGTATTTAAAGGGCCTTGATGAGGTTGGGCAATTTTTGCTCGCTGTACTAAAGGAAGGGATAACGTGGGTGCAGGTATCATACCTTCTGCTTGTAGGTAATCTTGGCGTATGGAAGGATGAACATGAAGTTGCTGGCATTGTTGCTGAGGCGTTTTCCCACACTAACTCCCCTTCTCTTTTCTGTTTCCCACAGTTTTGGGAGGTGATTAGTGATGAACATGGGATTGACCCCACTGGAACTTACCATGGTGACAGTGATTTGCAGCTGGACCGCATCAGTGTTTACTACAATGAGGCCACCGGTAAGATCTCCTGCTCTACCTGGTCTCGAGACATTCATTTTTCCTTATGTGAGGCATATGGGTAACCTCGTCCTCCCGTTCTCCAGTTCTGTTGCTGTCATCTTATGTCCACCCCCACTTCTGCTCTTTTGCCCTGGAGAGGGCAGGACTTTACTTTTCCAGTCTGGTAGTTTTGAAAGTCACTGCCATTAATTGGGTGTGAGGATACAGTAAGCTCTCTCTCTTGAAGAAGAAGAGATCAGATTTACACCCCACCCTTTGCTACCCGAAGGAGTCTCAGAGCAGGTTACAATCCCCTTTCTCTTCCCCTCCCCACAACACACACCCTGTGAGGTAGGTGGGGCTGAGAGAGCCTGCTCGAGAACTGCCCTTGAGAGAACAGCTCTGAAAGAACTTATGACTGACCCAAGGTCACGCCAGGAGCTGCAGGTGGAGGAGTGGGGAATCAAACCCGGCTCTCCCAGATTAGAGTCCAAACTGACTCTCCTGACTATGACTGACATGATCCCATGTTTAGCTTCTTGGAAACTAATGTTTTGGGATCCTGCTGCTGTAGAGGCATGGCCTGAAGAAACGCCATGAGCCACAGAAGGGCCCAGCAAGGTCTTTTCATTTTAGGTTCCACCCCATTCTGATTCCTCCATCCTGACTACAAGGGATTTCTATGCAGCTTGTGTTATGGAAGATGTGATCTCTTCTCAAAGGCAGATCTGGTGGGCCTTTGGCACTCTGGTCTCATGGTGTGCCCTGATGTACCTTTGCTCCCCCCCCCCCAACATGATGTCCCAAGAGTTTCTTCAGATAGCTGGCACCTACCCAAATTTCTGCTGACATGCTTCCCTACTCAGGGCTCTTATTGTAGAAAAAGCCCAGCAGGAACTCATTAGCATAATAGGCCACACCTAACAGCAGGAGCTCATTAGCATATTGGGCCACACCCCTGACAGCACAGCTTATTAGCACATTAGGCCACACCCCCATGTTACCAGAAGTGTGGTTATCCAGCCACACCCACCCTTTGCTTGCTATTCTGTTTACCTTGTTTGTTTTTATTTATTTATTTATTTTCATACTTATACCCCGCCCTCCCCAGTGGGCTCAGGGCGGCTCACAGAGGCAAGAACAACTTGCCATGATAAAACAATATATACAAAACAGTTTAAAACGTATACTACATATTAAAATATAATAACAGGTGCTCAAACTCCCATTCATAATCTAAAAGATGGCGGATTGAATGTCCAAAGTCCCACGAAGACGGCAGGAGGATTCTTCGATAGCAGATGTTTAATCAGGACCTCAGGGCGATGGTGGTATAGTAGGGGTGGCGGCTCCTACTCATCTGTTTACTTTGTTGTCAAAACCCAGGGCTTTTTTTGTAGCAGGAACTCCTTTGCATGTTAGGCCACACACCCCTAACATAGCCAATCCTAATGAGTGTCTGCTGTTGGGTGTGGCCTATTATTCTAATGAGTTCCTGCTGGGTGTGGCCAACTCGGGAGCCAGCCGGAACTCCGTTCCTGTGCGTTTCTGCCCAAAAATAGCCCTGTCCCTACTTAAAGCTCCTTAACCACAATTTTCTTTCTTATAAATAAGCTTCCTCCAAATTCCACTGATGAAAATTCAGCTGGAAAACTAGTTTGTGTACTTTGTGCAGTCCTACACACATGACAGATATCCAAGCTCCTCCTGCTAAAAAGGGCGTGTCCACTTATTTCAAACTCCTCTAAAGTTGATTTTTGCTAAGCTTGTGATGGAGTGATGTACAGCATAGTAAAGATCTGGAGCTAGGGGTCCTCCGTGCAGTGCCCACCAACATCTTTCCTGGTGCCCACCAAATGTCTTTAGAAAGTAGGTTGCACCAGATGCGGTTCTTGCCCAGCAGAGATTCTGATTGGCTACTGGAGATCAAGCTGGCTGTGCAGATTAAAATTGTTTCAGTTGCAGCTGCTGCCATAGTGTTGGTTTTATTTTCCCACGCCTCTTCCCCAGTGTATTTTTAAAACAACCTTTCTTCCCCTCCACTTGGGATTTCTCTGTGTATGTGCTCCATATTCTGAAGCAGCCATTTTGTGGATGGCCTCACCTCTTGTGGTAGCCATTTTGTGGCTATGCCTACCACCCCGTGTCAGAATTCCGAAGATGCCCACAGGCTCCAAAAGGGTGGGGACCCCTGATCTGGAGGGATGCTGGGGATACTTAGTGCTGAATCAGTCTCGCTGAATCAGATTTATAGTGCCTTATTCTTGTCTTCTAGGTGGTAAATATGTCCCTCGCGCCATCTTGGTTGATTTGGAGCCTGGAACCATGGACTCCGTGAGGTCTGGGCCTTTTGGCCAGATCTTCCGACCAGACAACTTTGTATTTGGTAAGATGCAATCCCACCCTTTGCTTTCGTTGTCTATAGCTGGTGGGACAGGGTGTAAGTAAGGCAGAGACCAAATTAGTGACAAAATGGTCTTTGCATAAAGTGATGAGCAGTGTTGTCCTTATGTTGCTGAGGGCATGGGGAAGCAACGGGATGGCTACTTTGATTCTGATACTTATGCCTAGTGGCTGCTCAAATAAGTGCCTGAACCATTGAGACTTTTAACTGGGTAAGGGTAAGACATGGGCCACTGGATCCTAGTCATGGGGGGGGGAGTTCACCAGGGATCTCGGCTGATCTCCGAGTCTCTTTTAAAGCCCTTCAGGAGTGCCTCAGCCATACCTTTTGACTGTGCCATTAGTGTTCCCAAGGCATGCTGAGATAGCCATCTTGAGCCAAGAGGAAAGGCAGCATGTAAATAGCTGTTCTTCTGGGATGCCCACTGTGTAATCCCTGTTCCTTATGCTTCGTTTTTAGATTTCTTCCAGAGAAATTAAGAGAGAAACTAGTCTCTCAATATACAATCAGTATGCAAACCAACTGACAGCTGATGCTGTTTACGGCATTCATCCCTTGAACAGGCAAATCAAAACACGCCACCAAAACAAACACACCCTAGAACAAGATTGAAAACTAATGGTTCCTTAGTACCCTGCAGTATCTACTGTTCCACGTTTGATTGGAGAAGGTGGAACAGTTTTGTGGGCTGCTCTGATTGCTGCACACACATACATTTGCCTGGGGAGTAAACAGCAGGGGCCAGGTTGCAGTCGTGTTCCTTGAGGAAGGCCTACTTTCTGCTCTGAGAACTAGGCACCTAGGTAGCCACTGGCTGCAATATGGCTTGTTCAGTTTGGTTCTTTGGTGCTTCGTCAGGCTGGGGGGGGGGAGCACAATATAAGGGTAGAAATTGCCAACTTCTTGACTCAGCAAGCTTCAGTGAGAGCAGAAATGTCTCTACCTCTTCTGTCCTGCCCTTGTTCTCTGTGCCAGTTGTGCATGTAAGAGAGACTTGGTTTGGAAAAATCAGGCATTCTTGATATCTGTATTTGGGATGTGGTAATGTTCCAGTTGAGAATGATGGGTCAGTCCTTCACCCAGGCTGCACTCCCTTCCCTCACAGCCGAGTTCAGTATTCTTTGGAAGCCCATCTTTAGAGCTCACTTCCTCTCATCTCCCTGAACTGTACCTCTAAGGGCATGAGATCCCTTGGTGGCTCTTTAGCCATTATAAACATGGCAACTTCTGCTTTCACTGCAGATAATTTCCTTATGTCTGTGGGGACTGGTTTCTCCTTGCTGCTTCGTAATGCAGTGATAACAGTTTTTCCACAGTGGGCCACATTCCTAGGCCTCTCATTTTAGATTATGTGATTTGAACTGGCAAACATGAGCGTGGGGTGGCGGGTAGTTTTCCTTGTCCCCATGGGATGAAGAATTTATCTTTTTAGTTTCTGGTGATGTTACTGGGTGAGTCTAATCAAGAGGCAGCTAGTTGAGGGAGTGTTGGCCACCTTAGCCACAACTTTATGGCTTCTCTCACACAGGCCAGAGTGGAGCTGGTAACAACTGGGCCAAAGGTCACTATACAGAAGGTGCTGAGCTGGTTGATTCAGTCCTGGATGTAGTGAGGAAGGAAGCGGAGAGCTGTGATTGTCTGCAGGGTTTCCAGCTGACCCACTCTCTGGGTGGTGGAACCGGTTCTGGGATGGGCACCTTACTGATCAGCAAGATCCGTGAGGAGTACCCCGACCGCATCATGAACACCTTCAGTGTGGTGCCGTCTCCCAAGGTCTCTGACACAGTGGTGGAGCCATACAACGCCACACTCTCAGTACACCAGCTGGTGGAGAACACGGATGAGACCTACTGCATTGACAACGAAGCCCTATATGACATCTGCTTCCGCACCCTCAAGCTCACCACTCCCACCTATGGTGACCTGAACCACCTAGTCTCTGCCACCATGAGCGGCGTAACAACCTGCCTCCGCTTCCCTGGACAGCTCAATGCTGACCTCCGCAAGCTGGCGGTCAACATGGTCCCCTTCCCCCGTCTCCACTTCTTCATGCCTGGCTTCGCTCCTCTGACCAGCCGTGGCAGCCAACAGTATCGAGCCCTCACGGTGCCAGAGCTGACACAGCAAGTCTTTGATGCCAAGAACATGATGGCGGCCTGTGACCCCCGCCATGGGCGCTACCTGACTGTGGCGGCTGTCTTCCGGGGCCGTATGTCCATGAAAGAGGTGGATGAGCAGATGCTGAACGTGCAGAACAAGAACAGCAGCTACTTCGTAGAGTGGATCCCCAACAACGTCAAAACAGCCGTGTGTGACATCCCTCCCCGTGGCCTGAAAATGGCCGTCACTTTCATTGGCAACAGCACAGCTATCCAGGAGCTCTTCAAACGTATCTCTGAGCAGTTCACCGCCATGTTCCGCCGCAAAGCCTTCCTCCACTGGTACACAGGTGAGGGCATGGACGAGATGGAATTCACAGAAGCAGAAAGCAACATGAATGACCTAGTCTCTGAATACCAGCAGTACCAGGATGCCACAGCCGAGGAAGAAGAAGACTTCGGTGAAGAGGCTGAGGAAGAAGCTTGAGGTTCATCTACCGCCATTTTAAAAAAAAATGAAAAGAAATCCGCACAAAATAAAAATTAAAAAAAACACACAACAATTCCATCTCATGTTCTATTTCTTTCTCTTCTTCCTCAAGCTTAATCTGTCGATCCTTTCTCTCAGGCTTATCTTTTTGTAGGGTGCAGTCTCTATTTTAATTCTGGTTTAATATGGTCTTATGTTTTTTCTCAGTTGGTGGGATTAACTCATGGTTGAGAATGCAACAGTCAGTTAAGATATCCCCTGTGAATGGCAAAATAGGGTCAGCGTGGAAAGAACTGTCTTTGCCAACAACCAGGTTTTCAGCTCTTGGTGATCAATTTAAGTTATTTGAGACTCCGGGTTAAAGAAGAAACTGAACTTTCCCTTTCTAATTCTGGTCTTCACTGCCACTACTGTACGTATGTGAGCTGTAAGGTAGGAGTATCAAGACTCAGTGGTGCGTATTATAGATAGAAGGGTTTAGGGAAAGTTGGACCCATACTTGACCTACTACGGGTAACTGGTTAGGCACCTGCATTAGAAAGGCAATTAAATTAATATGGAGACCGTTCCTAAAATCCAATTTCTTTGCTCTGCCAAGCAGAACTTCCTCTTCAAAACTGGGAGGATTTCATCTAGTTTTGATTAAAGGTGTTGATCCTAAGCGGGGGGGGGTGGTAAGCAAGCATTTGATTTCATACTGCATTTGCTTATGGAAACGAAAAGCTAATTCTAGATGGCGTGGAGAGAATGAGCTGTGGGGAGGACTTTGAAGGCAGTGCCAGGTATGGGGAACCTGTAGAGGTTGGAAGACCGGTGTGGGGATTTTGCTGCATCTGATAGAATGAAATCCTGGTAAAGTTTGACTAAACGGCTTGCGTAGCTTCTCCTGGCTTTCTAAACAGCCCTGGGATTACCAAAAGAAACATTTCCCCGAATTTCTGTCAGTCTCCTTCACTCACTCTCAAATCTTATCAGTGCTACGCAGGAGGAATGATGGACAGCCACAACTTCCAGTGAATGGCCTGTATCCTACCACTCCAATGTGTGTAGCCTTCTTACAACAGAAGGTAGGATGCTTCCATTGATGTTCCAGAATTTGCCCTATAGCACATGCAGCAGTGGAAGGGGAATAGCGCAGCAATCTTGCCGTGAACAAGATTGGATAAGGCTCAAGGGAAGGTCACAGGTGTGTATCTAGTCAAGGAACTGGGTGGGGTGGTGGTGAGTCCGCTTGGTTGTAGGATGCTTAAAGGAACTGATGCTGCTCAGTGTTGGTTAGGGGGGTAGCTGCAGATCCACCTACAAAAGATTTCAAGTTTAGAAACGGAAGTTTAGATTCAAGTTTAGATATGGGAATGAGTTGGACTTGGGCTTCTTCCAAAGAATGAAAACGGTGCTAGTTGCCCTTCAAAATGCCACCAAAGAGCTGGCCTGGCCTACACATGCCATGTGAGTTTCTAGTGCCACCACAAGCTGAAGTGGTATAGCCCTCTTGCTTACACATACACGCAAAGGTGAAAAATTGATGCAACTTCCAGGTAGGACCAGTACTGGGATCTTTCAAGAGAGGAACTGGGGCTGCATGGAAAGGGATAGACCGCTTTAGTTCTTGCACCAATGCAAATGGGATTACATTGGGAAAGTTTCTCTGCCACGCTTACACCTTTAGCTTCATTCAATCTCTTTTTTTTGCCTCTGTGTGCTTTCTTTTTCTCACTCATTTCTCTTTTTGTTTTAAATCCCTGCTTTTTCATATTGAAAAGATGTCATGTGAACAAATAAAAATAATGTGTTTTTATGTTCTCTTTGGATGTTGAGTGTCATCAATACCTCTCTCTTAACAGATCTATTGGGATTTGCACTATCCATCGCCACCTCTTGAGGATACCACTCCTGTTGGGTTTAGTGAGCAGTGAAGCTTCAGGGCTCAAGAATTTCACCGTACATTGACAGATACATGCAAGCAGGAAAGACAAGTTAACCCACTCCAGCAGCTCTCCTGATGGCTGCAATGCCTCAGTTATGCTCAGAGCACAGCAAAGGGAGTGCAAGGGGCATAGTGTAGGAAAGAGGAGATCCAAAGCCTTGCAAGCAGTGTGCTGTTGTGTGTGTGGATATTTTAACTGATTTGAACAGCTTTGTGAGTTGGGTAAAGTTAGAAGCTGAGGGGGGGACTACGGGGTTTGGGGACAAAGCTCAATTCAAGCTCATGTGATGGCCGCCTTGAGTTTTTGCAGTCGCCTCGCAACAGAGCTGGGAGAAGTAACAGCATGTTTACAGGGAGTGAGGGAAGTGATTGATAGTGACAACCTTAAAGTCACAATGATTTGGTCACAGTGGCCTCAAATATGTCTTCCATTCACAATTGAAGTCCCTCTGGTGCTCTAGCTGTGAATGGACAATGTGTTCTGTTGAAATCATACTTACAAATACAGTGGTGTTGCCTAACTGGCAACTGCCTAACCTAGGCCAGTAGAGCAATAAAGCAGTTTTTTGTCAAGGCTGCAACACAAACAAGCCTTCCTAAGCACTCTCACAATTCCTTCCCTTCATTTCTGTCTCCAAACACTATGGACTGCTTCACCACCATTCAAGTGGCTTACATTCATCACATGACAACTACAGCATACATGTATGCTGAATGCCCAAATTGGTCAGAAGCAAAGTGCAGCTGAAGCAACTATGGACTGCTTCACCACCATTCAAGTGACTTACATTCATCACATGGCAACAACAGCATACATGTATGCTGAATGCTCAAATTGGTCAGAAGCGAAGTGCAGCTGAAGCGAAAAGTTGCTGGGCTTATAGGTAGCCATAACAGCAGTTGTCTCTAAACATGGGCAGAGAATGTTTCCATGGCATCAAGTAATTACTTATCACTGTAGAATTAGGATTAAAGAATCTCTACCATTATCTCCACTAGAGCAAAGTGTGAGTCCAGTGGCACCTTTAAGACCAATAAAGGTGCCATTGGACTCAGAATTTGTTCTCCTGCTTCAGACCAACACAGCTACCCACCTCAATCTGTTGTCTCCACCAGCATTTTTCTTTTTAATTGCTACCATTAAATTATTCTTGAAACGTGGGGGGGGGGGATTTAAGACTGGGCAATTGTGTTTCTATTTTTTATGCTCTGTGAACCTCTGAGTCCTGGCGTGAATGCCACATGCCTGGCTGGTGCAGGCTCTCTATTTCTAACCGTGGCTGCTCAGATGACCAATGAAGGTGAGATGAACCCAGTACAACGCTCAGAAGCATTTTTTAAAAAAATCTTCCGGTGCCTGAATCTCGTTTTGAGGCTGAGCCAATCCCCTCGTTTCCCCCAGTCTTGAGAAACCGCCAGCCGCTTGCTCTCTCTCCCCCGCCACCCCGCTGCCATTTCCAGTCTGCTGAGCAGAGGCTGCTCTCACTGAAGTTGCGGGGGCGGGAAAGCCTGACTGCCTGGATGTAGCTGGGGGGAGGGGAAGTGGATCCCGACGTGGCAGCCTGGAGAGGCGGGGAGGGAGGCGGCCGCATTAAGGGAGGCCACGCCTCAGGGGCTGTTCCGCACACGAGCCGGTGATGAAACGCTGGGTGGGAGGAAAGTGCTGCAGCGCTTCACACTGAAGACGGAGGTGGTCGTCGTTTGCGGCGCTCCCCCGCTGTAAAAAATTCCAGCGCCACAGAACCAGCCTTCTCACCTATTGGGGGTGGGTGTGTGGGTAAGATTTTCTCCCTGCTGGGCTTATTTTACTGCCCCCACTCCCAAGGAACACCTGCAGTCTGGTAGTGTCTCGCGCTAGCTAGGGTTGCCAGTCTGGGTTGAAAAATACCTGGAAACTTTGGGGGTGGATCCGGCAGAGGATGGGAGTTTGGGGAGGGGCGTCAGCATGGTACAGTGCCATAAAGTCCACCTTTTAAAGCAGCCATCTTCTCCAGGGGAGCTGAGCCCTGGTAGCTGGAGATCAGTTGTAAAAGCGGGAGATCCCCAGGCCCCACCTGGAAGCTGGCGGCAACCCTATCGCGCTTTCCCACTGCCTTCGTATGTGCTGGATGCGTGGGTGCGTCTAGGCCCAAGCAAAACCGTGCAGTACTGTTTCTGAAGTCCAACCAAAGCGACATAGCCAACCCGCAAGTTTCCGAGGTCTGCAGAACACATCAGCCCGATGAAGCGCCCTTGAGAACCTGCAAGCTTACACACAGTTTTGTGTCCTTTGGGTTGGGCGTAATGAAGGGCGGCGGAAGACAGGAAGGCCTGGCGTGATCTGGTCCATGGGGTCGCGAAGAGTCGGACTCGACTGTCCGAGTGAACAACAACAACAAAATGAAGGGTATCCAGATGGCTTTTTGCGGTGCACTAATTAATGCCCCCCCCCCCCCTTGGGAGAAACGTACTGAGGAAGCTCTCTGGGTGACCTCAGGGCACTCACACAGGCTAACCTACATCACAGGATGGTTAGAATAAAATTGGGGTGGATAAATAAGAGGCACACTGTTATCTCCTGAAGGCCACTGAGGATAAGAATAGAAATAAGTACAAGGGGTCTTCTGCGTAGTTGTGAGGATGGGGATGTTTCCGCTCATATCACTGCAATGAAAAGGCTAGAGCCTTTTAAAAAGTTGAGAATTAGAGGAACTAGCGGATCCTGGCAACCAAATTACATTATTGCACTGATTTCTCCCCGTCACAGTGAAAAATAATGGTTGGCAAACACACACACACAAAAAAAGTCCAGCACCGATGTATTTGCCCATGCCAAGACACTTGGTTTCATAAGCCTCACAGTGTAGCAGTCTCCTCCACATTTGAAGAGTTAAGACTTCTGGGTTTCCAGCAGGTACACAAAAAATACAAAAGACCCCACTTCCATTTCTGAGGACCTAGGAATATCTATTATGATCTTTTTATAATGGACTCTGGTCTGCAACTGGAATGACATAGTCGACATTATTAACATTGCACCATCTGCGTACAGTTGCCTTTAGCCATATTAATTACTGTTAAGTAAAAAAGTGCTCAAGGCATGCCACACA